GGCCACCCCGCCGCCTTCGGCCGGGCTACCCACGCCGTGGTGCGGGCGCTGCCCGAGTCCCTCGTCCAGCACGCGCTGAGGAGCGCCAAGGGCGAGGAGGTGGATTTCGCCCGCGCCGAGCGGCAGCACCAGCTCTACGTGGGCGTGCTGGGCAGCAAGCTGGGGCTGCAGGTGGTGGAGCTGCCGGCCGACGAGAGCCTCCCAGACTGCGTGTTCGTGGAGGACGTGGCCGTCGTGTGCGAGGAGACAGCCCTCATCACCCGGCCCGGGGCGCCGAGCCGGAGGAAGGAGGTAATTGCCAGCCAGGCGACGCGAGGGGCGCGGCCGGGGCGCGCGCGGGCCCTCCCCCGCCGCCCGCGGCCGAGTTGCACCGGGAATAGCGAATCAGACCCCGGGCTAGTTCACAACTTCCCATTTGGGGGGCGAGGGTGTGTGTGTGTGTGTGTGTGTGTGTGTGTGTGTGTGTGTGTACGCGTACGCGTGCTAGAGAGAAGTTCATTGTTCACACCTCCTGGTTGTCCGGAGCCCTTAAGACCGTGGGACTGAGTGTGGCTGTTGCGGGCTCGGGCAGGTGGGTGGGCTGGGACCTCTGTCTCGCGAGCATTTATGTCTGTCAAATTACACAGCAGTAAAGACAATGCAACTCTGAAGGTTGTTGCCCAGGGAGCGGCGCCTGGAGAAGTGCAGCTCCAGGCAGGCAGAGGGCTGGGTGTCCCTTCCGGGGGCGCCGGTCGGTGACACTGAAGCCCCCAAGTCCTGCCTGGAGTCTGCAGCAGGGCGAGGCAGATGAATAAACCGGCATGGATGCCCACAGACCTAGGGCGCGTCCCGAGTTACTTTTCAGTGGTGGTGAACGAGTTCCGGAGAAGGGGACTGGCAAGTGAATGAATGCAGCCAGAGTGTTTTGTTGGTGAGCTGTATTAAATGTGTGCATGAATGGGCTTGGTTTGAAAAGCTGTACTCACTGTGGGGTGTTGGGTATGCGTATTTGTGTGTGTTTAATTGGAGACGCTTGTTTCACAAATTCCATAATTTTATTCTCTATATTTTAAATTCAGCAATTATGAGAGCTTTTGTGTTCTCATGGGATAGTGATTACTTTTAAATATTGCAGCTCGTGAAAATGGCTGTGATTGCTTTAAACACAATGTAGGTTAGTGGGGAGAGACACATAGAGAGCAAGTGGAATTTAAAATGCCATCTGGCCTGGCATTGCCAGTTAAGAGCCCAGACTGTAGACTCTCCTTTACTATTAAGTGGCATTGCAAGAAGCTGGTGGTTTCTCTCCTATGTGGAGATTTAGGGATTTTTCTCCCTATTTTGTCTTTATTCACTTCACATTGGAAATGCCTCTTAGAGCTTATGATTAAAAGGTGCTTATTTTACACACACTCCACTAGTTGGTTGATGGAACCCTACATGGTCTGAGAAAATAAGCAGATTTCATTTCTCATTGAGATAATCAGCTTTTTGTCACCCTACTTGAGCTGAAAACCAAGGAGTAACAGGTTCCATTCTCTGGCCCTTTTATCTTCATTGCCACGCCTCTGTATCTTTGAGTCTGAGACGCCCCAGTCAGTTTTTAAACTGGTAAGAATATAACCCTATTTGAATACTTTCTTATGTGTTCTAGGCCATGTCAGAGCTTAGGTTTGTACTTAAAAGAGTACAGTAGGTTTCAAACACCCTTTCAAAATGGTACGCCTTTGATGAGGGTAGGCCAATTTCCTCTTAAGAGACGGTTGCCGTATTTTTTTCATCCATTTCATTTTATTCCTATAATTAAACCATCCAAGTTTTGGATTTCTTGGTATTACATGCACAGTGATCTTTCTCCCTTGCCCAGATTTTGAGGCATGTGTTTTAAATCACCTTCATTCTGATATCAGCCTGGCGGCCCACAGCCAGAGGCCACAAGGTATTGTGGATAAAAACACTAGACTGGATCTCAACTCCACTGCTCTCTGTTTTTGTGATCTTGGGGAAGCATGTCTTGCCTCAGTGTTCTTTACTATAAGGTGGGCATAGTGTATATTTCACAAAATCATTATATTAAGTTTATTAATCCACCTGAAAATTTGTAGAAGAGGACATTTCATGAATGTTGATCATTATTGTTCACTGAACAGTGGGTCAGGGACAATATACTCCTTGAATCAGTAGTCAGCTGTACACTGGTTCTGCTAATGACAGGGCCCCTTTCCAGAGTGCAAGGCAGACATCTCATGCCTTAGGTTCCATCCTAACCTGTTTTTTTGACACTGCCTCCTGGGACCAGCAGTTGGCACATGTGGCCATTGCCCCTGGGGGGTGATTTCTCACTTTTTGTCTGTCTCTCTCTGTCTTTCTGGCAAGTGCACATGCCCTGTAACAAAAACCTCTCAAAAAAAAAAAGACACTGCCTCCTGGCTTGGGTATGTAGTATAGAGGAAAAGGTATTTTTCTTCTCCCTTCGAAGTTTAGCTGAAAAATCACTAGCAATAGCCATATTAATAAAAGAGAAGCTATACAGATTTTGTGTAAAGTATACAAGTGTATGTGGGAGCCATAGAGAATATAAACTCCAAGAGAGGCCAGGTGGCTGCTGCTTCAGTATCTCCTTATTAGAGACAGGAAAATGAGCGGTGGGGGCAAGTACAGGCAGTCTTAGAGTAAATGGTTTTTAGGGCATAGAGAATGGGCCCAATGCCCAGACAGTGGTGAGTAAATGATTCTCTTTGGGAATTGAATGGACCTAAGAGGTGAACAACAGCTTGTAACAAAGTCTGCCCAGGTGTGTTGACATTTCTCAATCTCCCGTTCTGTGATAAATGATTAGTTAAGGAAACCTCGGGGAGGGAATCAAAGGCAACTGTTTTCTTCTTCGGCAGGTCCAGTCTTAGGTAATGTAGTACCAGGGCAAAGCTCCTCCTTGTACTTAGGGAAAGATAGATTACAAGATGATCAGGAGACAGGGGATGGGGAGGAGGTGAGGAGAGAGCGTGGTTCTGAGACTGTTTCTTTAATTCAGCATGTCAAAGTGCCAGTCTTTGGGGTATCATTTTCTGAGCCTCAACAATGGTCTTTCCCAAAAGCACCTTTGCTGTTGCACATGCTCTTGGTCACTGGGGTGACAGGTCTTCTGGCCAGGTGGAGAAATATGAGAGTCTGTGTTGGATGGGATTACTTCTGGAGAGCAGGGCCATGTTTTTGTTTTGTTGTTGTTGTTGTCTTTTTCCTGAGAGATTTTTCCAATAGAGGATATGCACTCACCAGAGAGAGAGGCAGAAAGCAAGAAATCACCAACCTCCCCGCCTGCCCCCCTCAGGGGGCAGGCCACACTGCAATCCTTTCTCCTCCATTCTCCTCTCAGGATTTTGGGCATACAGGCACACATGTCAGGTGTGAATTTTAAGCCACCAGGGCTGGGACTTGAGCTGTGGTCAGCCCTGTCGGAGTCCAGCACCTTAACCACTATGCCACCTGCTGACCCCAGGGCCATGTATGTTAATCCTCATAGAAAGAACTTTCTCCCAGCATGAGCTCATGATGGTAGGGTTAATACATGTAGAGTGAATGAATGAACAAATGAAATGCTACTTAGTTATACAACTGATCCAATAATGACTTCAGGGCCTTCTTTGGATTGCTACATATTTTTTTCATCTACCACAGCCAAGGAATTATTTTTAAATTATCATTATGGATCTCCTTGCCTTCAATCTTCTTAATCTCCAATTCCCATAACGTAGCCAAAATGGTCTTAGAAAAACTCAAATCTGATCCTGTCCTTCCTCTGACCAGAAGGTAAATCCCTTGAACTCTGCTTGCCTTTCTAGCTTGAGCTTGATCTCTCACCCAACCCCATGCACCTCCAACCCTCAGCTCAAGCCAGGTTCTTTCTCTCAGGCTCACCTTACTATTGCTTTTCTAGATACATGTTTGCCTTTGGAACATTTTTCTTCTTTCCTCTTTCTCTTTACCTGGCCATTCCTACTCATGCTTCAGCTTTCAGCTTACTGTTGCCATTGATGTTATTAGCCTGTATATTGTGGTTGCTTGCCATTTGCTTCACACTGTGCCGGATTTATGACATGTATTTCACTAATGTTCATATCAGTTGAGCTCAATACTATCGTTATTCCTATTTTTAAATTGATGACACTCAGGTTTAAAGAGATCCCATTGGCCAAGGTTCTAGAGTGGAACCAATGGGATCAGGATTTGAATTTGTTTGTAGAACTCCAAAGCTCTAGTCCCGCCCTCTATGATATTAGCATTTACCTTCCCAAGCTTGGGACTGATCTCCTCTTAAAGTTCCTAAAACCGGGAACCAGCAGTTAGCGTAATGGCTATGTCGCTGGACTCCCATGTAGTGGACCGCGGTTCGTGTCCCGGACCCGGTGGCTTAAAAAACTCACGCCGGGCACGTGTGCGTGCGTGCCCAAGATCCCGAGAGGAGAATGGAGGAGAAGGGATTGCGGTGTGACCATCCCCCCTGGGGGGTGATTTCTCGCTTTCTGTCTCTATGTCTCTCTCTGTCTGTCTGGTGAGCGCACGCGCCCTACAGTGAAAATCTCTCAAAAAAAAAAAAAAGTTCCTCAAACCCTCTGTACTTCCTTCTATGATATTTATCATACCATATATTAATTGCCTGTTTGCCTTTCTGTATCTCATCCTTTTACGTAAGCATCAGGGCAGGGATCATGTCTGCTTTGTTCAACATTTTATTCCCAGGGCCTTGTATTCTCTACACATGCAGCAAATATTTTGTTGAACAAATGCCCCCATGATTTAAGGTCAACCCTAGAGCTCCTCCTTCATGACATATTTGGTATTTTGCAAGCATTCCCTATTAGTAGAATCCTAAAAGTTTTATTATGTGTGTTGGTGGTTTATAACTGTTTTTCTTTCCCTGTCTCTCTCTTATTGTTATTGTTTTGTTTGTTTTTACAACAATCTTGAGACGTTCCTTCTTAATCAAAACGTCATGCTAAATTTAATGACTTTCCTTCCTTGGAAGAAAAGCTTGAGAACCAAATTCAAGAACGTATTCCTGCGAAAGCCTGGTGTTTGCCTCAACAAAGCCCCTGAAGATTAATAAAACACAGGCCCTGGGTCCAAGAAGCTCTAGTGAAGCAAACTGTATATACAGACATCAGAAAATAATGCTTAATAACTTTGGATCTTTGGGACTATGAGTACTTTTAATATGTTGAATACTTTGAAGACAAATCAGCCTTGAAAAGCCTATCATATTTTAATTGAATCCAACTTGCTTCTTGGGGAAAATAAGTCATCTTCTAAATGCC